GGCCCCCGGCACGGCGGGCACCGGGATGCCCCCGGCAGCTTTGCAGTGCTGTTACGGTTAAAGACGGATGCAACAGGCTCATAAAATTGTAAATCAGCCAGAATTTCATTCTGGCTTCCTCAGATTAGGAAGAGGCGATGGTGTTTTGTGAATCAAGTTTCAGCACAGGAAAATATGCTTAATCCTCTTAGTTTCAGAGCAGTTTGCAGGCTGCGCCGCTGGCAGCCCTTCGGTGCGGGCACAGCCCGGCTGAGGCCGCGCTCCAGGAGCCGCGGTGCCGAGCCCTGTGCCCTGCCGGCTTTGCCGACATCGCTTCTACCCAGCCTCTCAAATAATGAAATAAAGGCCCAAACGAAAGTAGTCGTTATTGCACGCATTTATTGCGCTAAAGCAGGACATTTTGAACACAATGTATTTTACTGAAAATCCGTATTTGGTGTCCCAGGTGCCTCTGAGTAATTCAGTCCCAAATACTTGCAGATGAACACAGTGCACAGGAGCTACTTTGGTCTCAGGTTTGTCCTCCTCCGAAGCTCAGAGGTGAAGCTAGGACTGACATCTTTGCCAACCACAACTGCTCCTCTCCTAACATGGTGTACACACTGGCTCGTGGGCACCAGCTCAGCCAGGCAGGTTTTGTTTGGAGCCACTTACTTTCACAGCTGGCTGCACATGTGGATCCAGACCTCAAGAAAACGCCACGAACCGACGTCAGGTGTAAAAGCATGCCAACGACCCAGAACTCACTCGTGTTATTTCGGTTGTGTCTAGCCAAATGCTCAGCTCCTGCAATTCTACAAGTAGCTGTACGCCCACGGCGTTGCACAAGTTTCTCCGCGTCGGCAGCCTGCAGGTCACACGCCGGTGGAGAGGACGTGCTCGGGACTGGTTTGGAAATTCAAAACTGCACCCTGCGGCTATACCAGCGGCCGATCTGGCTCCTGCACCTTGACACAGCTCTTCAGGTTTTTTGGGGAGATTTCTCAGGTGCTTTGAGACCTCAGGCTCATGTACTTACTCCACCTCTGACTTTTTTTTTTAATGCAGTCTGCATTTCAGTACCTCTGCTCAAATCACCATGGCCTGCCTGGAAGCAGTGGGAAGGTCTTGGCTCCTTCCCCCAGGTCCTGCCCGCAGCAGGTTCAGCATCCCAGACAGGCTGCGCTGTTAACGGTGTCAAAGCAGAGCGGCAGTGTTAGAGCCGGGATAGCTTTCGTCAGGAGGAATCCAGAACAAACCATGCTGCCAAGGGGGACCTAGAGCTTTTAGGGCTGGGGGAGTCCTGTAAATTTTGACCGTCATCATTTCTTCTGTTTTAAGAGTTAACCAGGCAGTGATACTGCTTTTCTTTTAAAAAAAAAAAACAAACCACAATGCCAGATCTTTAACACTGCTCTCAAGTTTGAATTTCCTTGTAAAGACACATCTTGTGAGTGTCCCGTTACGGAAACGGGTACATTGCGATCCAGCCAGTTAATAGCCCAGGTATGGCAGTTTCTCCTTATCTGAGTGCCAGGCTGGTTTGACAGTTCCCATAAGCAACAGAAGAACTTTTTCCATGTCTCTAAATGGGTCTTTCAAGTAGCAGCTCCAGCACTAACTCGGTGGTGTGATCCGTCAGCATTTTGGGGTATAAGTGCTTTCCTTCCCCCAGGAGCCTCCAGGAGTCAGGGATGTGCGCTGGCAAGCTGTGAGAAACCGCTGGGAATCAATTTTTATCCAATTGGTTACAGGAGGATCCTTGAGGAAATGACAGTTTGCTTCTCTGGAGTAGCCAGCATGAAAAATTGTATCCTGATGGCTTGGGCACATCTGTGTGCCTTGGCCCATTTATAAGTGTTGATGATTTCTTGGTACAACAAGGAAAGTTGGTCTTGTCATCTGAGCTCAGCAACCTCAGTCTCTCCCTGCAGCCTGTGGAGGCATTTGGACATCTGATCCTATCAAAGAAAAGCACACACTGAAGTCCGCTTCTGGGGGTTTTTTTATAAACAGTTAAAATTGTTTCCAGTTCTACAATTTCCAGGTTACAAACCCTATAGGAAAGGTTTGATGTCACACCCTAAAAAAATATTTAGGGCCTTCAGAATTGAAAAAGCACTTGCGAACATACCCGTCAGAAGAAAATTCTAAATCTGGTCATTAAAAATATCCTAACATGGGCTATACAAAAAGCCAAGCCTTTTACATCAAAACACAACATGGAAAACAGACCAGAGTGTCAATGCAACCCCTGGAAAAGCCAGAAGGTGATGTGCAAAGCCCTCCAGCAGCAGAGGATGGGCTGGTGGTTCACAAAGCATTGCCCTCTGAGAGTTTAGTTTGCAGATGATTTGCAGAATTTGAAATCTCTGCTTTGGAGGGGAGAAAGCAAATGAGCTCTCTGGTTGTCCAATTTCTGTAACTTCAGGCATGTTCCTAAGAAAAGCATGAAGTGAGAAACTGACCCATCATTGCATTTGCAAATAAAAAAAGAAAATCAAAAAACACTTCTCTAGTCAAAATTTCTTATTTAGAAATAAAAATATAAACAAAAACGTGACTTGAAAAAACAACTGCTCCACACTTTACAATCCACACAAATAAATTGTGCTCCACGATATCCATAGGCATGGCTCCTTTGGTTTCCTACAATTCCCATTTGTGCCCAGCCACTTTGCACTGGCACAGCCAGAGCTTACAGCGTACCTGGCTGTGATGTCCATATCCTGCACTGGGCTCAATCTTTTCCATTTAGGAATTCCCACTGCTGAGACAGAGCAAAGTCACAGGCTCCTTTCACGCAGTGCGCTGCCTTGGGTACTCTGAAGTGCAGAGATCTCAATGCTAAGAATGATGCATGAAGATGAAAAACCCAAAGCCTTTTAATACCTTTTGAGTTTGTATTGGGAGTTGATAAAGCAGTTGCCTGCCTGATCTGCAGTACAAGTCTTCTCCAGGAGGTGGAAGATGAAGATGTCCCCTCTTGCTCAGCCTAATCTGCAGGCTTTGCCCTCTGCCTGCTGAGCAGCACAAGCAGCTCCCTTCTTGGAAGGCAACTTGGTGTCAAACGGCACCTTCTGCTTGCCTAAAAGAGTGGAGGCCAAATCGAGGATGCTTTGGGGTAGGACCAAGCGTTAGGCAATCCTAAGAGCACAGGTGAACCTGGAAGAGCTGCTCCAGTGGTCCCTGGAGCATGGTCCTTCCTTGCAGGTAAGTATAAAAGCGGTTTCCCAAGCAGTCATGCCTCGTGCCTCTGCGCTGTCTCTGCCTCTGTAGCTTTTTGGGAGATGTTACGGAGGTCAAGTTCTCAAGAGCAGGGAATTCCTGCAAGCCGTCTGAAAACCAGGGTCTGGAGAGAGGAGAAAGTGCTGCATCTGCTAAGAACAGGCAGGAAGATGATGCTGCTTATCCTCACCAAGAGAAAGTGGCATGCAAGCGCTGGCAGCGGGGGCTGCCCGGGCTCGTCCCCCAGCCTGCCCCAGCACGTGGTGCCCCAGGGCCAACCCCAGGAGATGGGCAACACGCGAGCAAGCTGAGGCACGCTGCAGAGCAGACGGAGGTGCTGAGGGCGCTGGTGAGGCTGGGACGTTGGTGTGCTTAGGATACAGAGAATGGAAAGCCGTGGACCTGTATTTCTTTCTTTTTTTTTTTTTTAAAACACCTGCAGAAGAGAGATACCCATCGAGCGAGCACGTCACAACTACACTGCAAAATGGGAAGCAGAAACATGCTCAGGTTTCCAGACAACTGCAAAATCGTACTGCCAAAGCATTATGTCAGGGAATTCCAGTGAAAAACAAATATATTATTACATTAGATTTGCAATCTACAGAAACGTATGTACTTATATATTCTTAAATATTAAAAATGCATAGAAATTGCCGTATCAGTATAACAGCATGTTTTCACATATCGAGGTGGTGCTAATAACTGATAATCTATTCTAACATTTTGAGATTAAAATGCCTCTTCTTTTACCTGTTGTGCCACTAGTGAAACAGACAATTGATAGATCTTCTGGTCGAGGAGGCTAGAAATACACAAGGAGAATAAGAAAATCACATCAATCAAATGCAGAAGGGTCAATGGTAGGCTGTTGTCATTGTATAAACTTAAAGATCAAACCAATTATATTTCAGGTCTGCCATAAAAAATTTTCACTTCCCTTGGCAAATATAAAAGACCACAATAAAACTCTTTTATCAGGCTTCTTCAGTTGATGCAGACTCTATTCTTCCCTTATGTTTTGCTCCAGTTGCATTAAGGGCATACTTTAGTGTAAGAAGACTTTGATGGAATATTTGTGTTTTGCAGTTAGTATTTTCAAAGACATCACCTATACCTGTAGGTGTGCAGGAAAACTTCAGATAATTTATTGATTTCCAGATAAATTCTGGAAACCCATGCTTATGCACAACAGGGGACGACTTTCTGAAGCTGCTGATTGCTCCCATTTCCAGTGCTGTCTCTGTATTCTCAGCACTACTGCATGTGCACGCTATTTTGGGCCACCAATGAATAAATAAGCTGCATGAAAATCAGAGGCTGCTTTTGAAAGTTTTGCACGAGTATGAGCAGCCAGTGAAAAACATCAATGCAGTTTTCCAAAAACATCCCAGAGAAATACTGCCGAGTAGTGTTTCTGAGGTATAGAAACCCCACCAGAAAGCCAAGAGTGCAAACACATCCTCCCCTCTCCCCCCGTCCAGTGCTGCATGGGTAAGGTAGTGGAATTAGCGTGGCTTAACAATGGCATTTAATTACTGTCTCATTAACACGTTCAGCAAGGATGAACTATCTCAGTTAAGTGTCCCAAATGGAGGGTATGAAGCAAACACTGCACATCTCCAGTGGATGGTATTGACAGTCCCTGGGCCTGTCCCACCGCCTCCCAGGCGCAGAGGGTCACGGGGCACGCACGCTTCCTTCTGCCCCGAGCAAACCCTTCCCTCTTTTGTCAGTGAAATAAAAGTAACACAGTCATCTGCGATTGTAGGTGGGAAAAGCAGCATGCCACACTCACCACGGGCACATGTCGACTCTCACGGCCACAGTCCTGAAAGAGATTAAAGCAAGAAAAATGATTTCCACTTTAATACCTGTGGTGTAACACACTTGCTAGTGATCCGCAAACCACTAAGGGAGAGTGTGAGCTGGAGCAGAAAAATTCGTGGCTAACTCTTAGGTCATCTCTTCTACCCAAAGTTTCTTGTGTTAACTGCAATGCCATCCTTGGATTTCAAGTAGTTCTTGGGTTGGTTGAGCTGGATCCAGGCTGTTTCTTAGAAGTGTAAGGCTGTAGGCTTACATGTAGGAGGACAGTGTCTCAAACAGCAACCCCCCTTTCCAGGCTTAGCTAGCAGTTGATACCTTATTTGAGCAGGAAGGATTGAAATGTTGACTCCTATCAACAAGGAATAACATGTAAGAGGCAACCGCGCTGAGCCATGCATCACTATGAACAGCCACAAGCTGCTCTCTTGTGCTCTCCAGACACCGAACCTGCCACGCAGTTCATGAGACCCTGTATATTTTACTGTCTTTTTACAGGAACTACAAAATATAGTAAAAAAAGAGGGAGAACAAACTTACCTCCACCTCCTGCATGGTCTGGATGCGAACCCCACAGCGACTCCCTCTCTCCCTCAGCTCCTTCTCGAATGGGTCCATCAGGATGATGTTGATCAGACCTGGTGTTTCTCTCTTCTCCACGTGGTCGAGGAGTATTCTGGCTTTTTCAGGTTTGTCACAAATGACTGTGGAAATGTCAGCTGGAAGAATGGCAGCCAAATGAGTTGTTTACAGTAAATCTTTTTTAATGCAAGACTGGCTGCTGGTTCATAGCCAACATTGCATCAGTTCTGATATTTACTTCAGGCTAACATCAGAAATTCTAGAATATAGCATAGATTTCTCTTAGAAAATTACTGCAATCTTAGCTGACTTAAACCAATACCAGAGCTGTAGCTGACATCTACAATTATTCTGGGAATCAGTTCAAAATACTAAAATTGCTCACCACGTGGGCTAAAAAAATCTAGGAGGCAAAATACGAAGCAGCACAGGAGTGGGTGGCCCGGGAGTAATTCCCGCAGCCAGAGCAGCCCCATCCACGGCTATGCACGACTGGGCATATGGGAAATGCAGCAGAGGCAGCCCTGACCCAACATGGGGACAAACCACTTCGAAGAAACATCTCTAAAGTGACTTCAAGACACTCAATGACATTTCAAGACACTTCAAGACACTCCACACGTCTTTTGGAAAGCAGAAGAAAATGAACCATTCTGAGCAACAAAACTGGATTCTGAGATTACATCAAATCAAAATCAAAACCAAAAGACTACATCAATTTTGTTTATACCTGTGTTGATGATGTAACGAATGGCTCCAGGACCTAAGGTGTCGTAGAGGGGAACCACCACCATGGAGTAGGTGTAGCAAGCAAGCTCAGAAATGATCCACTGCAGAAGGACATCAAAGCATGAAGGTGAGATGGGGGTGGTAGAAGCAGATTTAACACACTTGAGAACAAGTTTCAAGTACAAAGCAAGCTCACAAGTTAGGAACATTATCAATAAAGCATCAAGTCGAACTTAAAATCTCACCTCTGGACGGTTTTGAGCAAAGACCCCAATGAACTGCTTTGTGGATGGCTTGCAGCCCTGCTGAAGAAGCCCTGAACCCAGAGCTTCTGCTCTTTCAGCCACCTGGAATTGGGAGGAAAAGAAAAAAAAAACCCATAAAAAAGGAAATACAAGCAATACCAAACTAATTGAAGGCATAGCTTATACAGGGAGGTTCTCAAAATATTTTATTTGCTGTCTAAAAGCCCGATTTTTTATGTTATCATGAACCATTAGTAGTTGACCAGCAGTTGACCTCTGGTTGGCAACGGCTCACGGCTTTGGAGCGTGTCAGTGCCGCTGTCAAGAGTGGGCTAACAGCATCGAGCCCGTCCCCGAAAGCCAACATGCCTGTACAACGCCAGGATGTGCCCGGCCACGCAAACCGAGAGCCCTCGCACAGCGCGTTAGCAACCTCCCGGTCTAGCGTGCGCGTGTTACCGACGGGCGCCTTAAGGCCCCCTTCTCCTGCCGGGCAGGGAGGGAGCACGGGGGGAGAGGACTCTGCGGGGGTGTCGTTTCCAGCTCACCTCCTTGTAGGACAGCCACTGGTACGGCTGCTTGGGCTTCCTGAACCCCAGGCAGGGGCCATTTTCTGGAAGACACAAGCAGAGATGACGGAGTTACGGGGGCAGTGCCAGGAGTTAACGTCCTGCCCGGTACCGCGCTGGGGGGATGCAGCAGAGCTCTCAAAGAGTAAACCCTCGTTATCGGGGTCGGCTCTTGCTCCTGGGGCAGAGCTCAAAGCAAGGCCTATCAAATCAAACACACGAGTGCAGCTAAGGGAGACCGGCTGCTGGGATCTCCCAAATAGTCGCTTCAGTTCTCCCTGAGCTGCAGAGGGGACAGCCCCCAAAAAGCCTCATTAGAAGTCACTTCTCTGAAGGCAGTGTGAGCATTAGTGGCTGGTGAGGGTTTTCATCCCAAACACCAGCTCCAACTGCTTTTGCTGCCTTTTGATTTAAACACTTCAGAGTGAAACTGCTATTTTTAGCACAGCCTACTCTGGAGGAGGGTAAGACAATACACAGCACCACATGACAGGAGGAATATTTGAGAAGTTTAATCAATTTGCTAAGTGTGCTTATCTGCACAAGATCCATCCCTCCATACACCTACAGACTTATTTATTTACCTCTGTCCTGCAGGGTGGAATATTTGCAATTCCACTGAGGCTTTTGGCGGTACCGAAAATAATAAGCAGACAATGAAATTGGTGTGTTCAACGAGGCGGGACGTCGTAAGCAGTGGACACAGAAATAGTTATCATATAGCAGGGAAGAGTCATCATGGCTTTTTAGAATCATAGAATAGAATCACTAAGGTTGGAAAAGACCTCTAAGATCATCAAGTCCAACCGTCAACCCAACACCACCGTGCCCACTAAACCATGTTCCCAAGTGCCACGTCTACATGTTTTCTGAACGTTTCCAGTGATGGTGACCCCACCACCTCCCTGGGCAGCCTGTTACAATGTCTGACCACTCTCTCAGTAAAGAAATTTTTCCTAATACCCCACCTAAACCTCCCCTGGCGGAAGCCTTTGCTTCCTTTGGAGCGGGAAATGGTGTCCCACAAGTGTGAGGGAGCTCTCTGACGGTGCCATCGATCACGGGGCAAGGGTGATGGACTGATACACCACACTCAGCTTTCCTAAGAGCTCTTGGCAGAGTGCCTCACCCTGCCCTGTTGTGGAATAAAAGGTAAGTTGGATGAGTTACTGATGAAAAGGCAGCAACAAGCAGAAATAAGTATCAGCATCTGCAGTGGAGGAAGAGCTCTGCTGGGTTCCACAGTTCTATGTCTGGATCAGCCCTGTTTAATGTATTCATAAATGTTCTGGAAATGAATAATGTATGGTGAGCTCTGCTGATGCTGCAGAATTCAGGATGTTAAGCTGCCTGCCAGTGGTGGCAAAAAGATCATGCACAGTAAAACTCAATGGCATTAAGGGCAAAATAATGCATGTTGCAAATAATAACCCTAATTATAACCCCCACGCTCCAAATGTGGCACCTGCACCAACACGGGCAGCGCAGGCTGCAGCACCTGCTCTGCGCCTCACTGGGCCTCCTCCTTCCTTGGCCTCCACTGCTTGGACCTCCCGCTCTCTGGCTGTCCCACTCTCCTGGCCTCTGCCCCTCAGGCCTCCCACTCTCTGGGCCTCCCACTCTGTTTGGGCCTCCATGTCTGGGTCTCCCTTCACTTTTTTCCACTCTGTTGGCCTCCACTCTTTGGACCCCCTTCTCTGACATGTCCACTTGCTGGGCCTCCTACTCTGTGGTCCTCTCAATCACTTTCTCCCTCCCACACCTTTTTGGCACCTCCACTCTTTGGGCCGCTAAACTCATTTGACCTTCCACACTTTTGTGGATTCCCATACCTTTTGGGCCTTTTCACTTCTTTGGCCACCCACACGTTTTCACCCTTCCACACCCTCAATGGGCCTCCCACCCCTTTTCATCCTCCCACAATATATTGGCCTCATACACTCTTTTGACCTCTCATACTTTTGCAGCCTCATACTCTCTGGGCCTCTAAAGTCCTTGACCCTCCTGCAAGTTTGGGGACTCTACACTCCCTGGGCCTTTAAACTCTCAATGGGCCTCCCACAATTTTTTGGCCTCCACAGCTCTTTGACCTCTACACCTCTTCAGCTTCTACACCTTGTTGGGCTTCCACACCTGTTTGTTCTCCTACACACTTTTGGCCTCCCAGACGTTTTTCAGCCTCTATGCCTTTTTCGCCTTCCCACACCTTTTTCGTACACTACAACTCGCCAGCTTCCACACCACATTGGCCTCCCACACCTTTATAAGCCTCTAGAACTCATCAGCCTCCCACACCTTTTTGGCCTCCCGATGCCTTTTTTAGCCTCTACGCTTTGTCAACCTCCCACCCTTTTTTGTCAGCCTCCTGCACCTTTTATTTGCCTCTACAACACACCAGCCTCCCACTCCTTTTATTAGTCTCTCACTCCTTTTATTTGCCTCTATACCTCATTGGCCTCCCAACACCTTTTTCATCCTCTACACCTCGTTGGCCTCCCACACCTTTTCAGCCTCCCACTTGTTGGACCTCAACACTCATTTGGCCTCCTACACCTTTTCAACCTCTACACTTGTCAGGCCTTCCCTACCTTCCGGGCCCCAACACTCAGGCCTCCCAGTCCTTGGCCTCAACACTGGTGGGTCCTCCCACTCTTCTTGGTCCTCCCACACCTTTTTGGCCTCCCACACCTAGTAGTCCTCTATAGTCTTTGGGCCTCCCACACTCTCTTAGGCTCTACGTTCTCTGGGCCTCTGCAATTTTTTGGCCTCCCATACTGTTTAAGCCCCCCTCTGTCCTTCAGCAATCATATCACCTTCGGCTTCCCTCACTCTTTTTGCTTCTACACTCTTTGTGCCTCCTGCACCCTTGGAGCCTCCTCTGCTTTTTCACCCTCTCCACTGTTAGTGCCTCTCCCATTCTTTCAGCCTCTCTCTCTCGATTTCTACAGTTTTATGGCTTCTCACATTCCGGTGGCTTACCAACTCCTTCTTTTTTGGCCTCCCACACTCCTTTGGCCTTTGAGTCCGAATGGGCCTCTACCCACTTTGGGCTCCCACACTTTTATGGGCTCCCACAACACTCTTCCCACCTCTACATTCGCTGAGCTTCCCTAAGCCTTTGAGCCTCCCACGCCATTTGGTCCTCCACCTCTCCTGACCTCTGCTCCCAGGCCTCCTCGTCACCATGCTCTCACCGGAGATGCTGAATCCCCTCCTGAAGACCTCGTACATGGTCCTGGCGTCATCGTAGTAGTGCGTCAGCAGCTGCGGGCTGTCCCCGATCACCGACCGGCGCGCTCCGGCCAGGCCCTGTGTGACATGACGTGATATGATGTGACACAGCCATGCCGTCAGCACCGCCTGACGGGTGGGAGATGGGGAAACCCCAAACCATAAAGCAGCAAGCTCCCCATGGCCTCTCTGCTGTCACCACCATGCTCCTGCCCCAACACCCAAAGGGCTGGGAGAGGTGGGACATCCACCTCAGCGCCCCAGCAGAACCACCTGCACTTGAGGAGCACTTGAGCTGGCTCGTCACCACGGGAGGTGGTCGATATTTCCCAAGGAGATTTGGGGAGGAATTATAAATCTGCAAGTAGTGGCGTGGGGACGTGCTGGAGGGAGTGACTGCTCTGGGCTCCACAGGTCCCCGGGACCAGCACCACGGGCACCTTCTCAAGGACGTCTAGACCAACACGAAGCACAGACTAAAGCAGAGGCCAGACTCCAGACCCCAGTGCGTGGGTTCATCAGGAGTGTTTTAGGAGTGGGCAAGGGGAGGCAGGCAGGGCGAGAGTGACCGAACCAGGTCTGCGCTGTGAGCCAGAAGAAGGTCTCACTACAGCCCTGACCACAGGGGAAACTGTCCTGGAAAATGTAAATGCCTGCCATCGTTTTAAAAAGTTGTTGGAATTAAAGTCAATAAGGTTTTAGAGGGGACATCACAAAAGGTTTTAAATTCTCATCACACCTTCAGATATTAATTTAAGTGGAAACAATTTTTTGAAATATTTCCACTCTTTAAAACAGACCAGCTTCGTTAAACTTTAAAACCTTTCGCAAGCATGAAAATTAATAACTCCTCAGCCTCTAGGCATGGATTCAGGTCTACTTTTTCTTATTATTACAAAGTTTGCAGCAGCAGCCTCGGCAACGGGCGCACACAAGAAGTGCCAGCTGATTTGATCTTATCGGCTGTTGCCTTCCGGTGGTTTCTCCCATGCAATGGCAGCTCCTGCAATTTTCGGTCAAGGATGGTTAAGCAAAGCTAAGACCAAAACGCGATTGAAAATCTAAAAGAGTAAATCAATGGGCTTTGTATTCTAGTTTTCCAGTTGACAGAAAAAGGTGAACTGAGGAGCAAAGCGATCCGTGGCAGAGCGCGTCACACGACTGATTTCAGGACGAGGTTGGGCAGCCCTCAAAACAAACAAAAGCACCTCCTGGCACCGCCCCCCGTGCCCATTTCCACACGTGCAAACCTGGTGTGAAACCCACCCCTCGCCGGGTGCCCCTGGCCTCACCTCCACTTCCTGCGACTGCATCCGCAGGGCGCAGGGCGGCTTC